GACCCTGATGCTGGGAGGGATTGGGGGCAGGAGGTGAAGGGTACGACAGAGGATGAGATGGCTGGATGGCATCACCAACTCGATGGACATGAGTTTGCATAAACTCTGGGAGTTGGCGATGGACAGGGAGGCCTGGCGTGTCACAATCCATGGGATCGCAAAGAGTCAGACACAACTGAGCCTCTGAACTGAACGGAACTAAGAAGCATTTTCTGTGAAAAGTCAGAAAACCGGTGGGTTACAGAGCCCACACTTAATTAATATGAACGAAAGGGCTGAAAGGACTGAGACAGACTGAAATCCCCACCAGAATGAGAGGCAAGCCTCCCCGGGCCCGTCCATGGCAGGAGGACACGGGGTGGGGGTCCAGAGGGGGCCTTGCAGAGTCTCTCTCCAGACTCTTCCTTCTCATTCAGCACTCCACTGAGATGTCTGAGGGAGAATTTTCAGGCACAGAGGAAACATGAGAGCAGAAAATCCCAGCTCTGCTCCAGAGATGCTACAGCAAGGGTGTGACACGGTTTCCAACACACGTCATTAAGAGCTTTGTCCCAGGCTGTGCAGGTGAATGAAGGCCGCAGCCCCTACCAGCTGCCCGTAAGAACAGGGGAGCCCAGATCCTGAACATCAGAGGCTGACCCTACACTCAGCAGACACGTGACACCGACCAGTCTCCAGGTCCTAAGGATAAGTTTTAACCTCAGCTGGGCCCGCCCCACAGAACCCCAGCCTGCAGAGTCACTGTCTGTTCAAGTCTCCCCTCGAATATCAAAACCCTAACATAACCCACCTGGACCCCTGCACACTCCTTCCAAACCAGCACCTGCGCCGGTCCTCCTCACCTCAGCGAAGGGCTATTCCATCCTTCTAAGCAGCTCAGGCCAAAAGCCTGGTGTCATCTGTCTCTCATAGCTCACATCTGAGACCCAGATGTGTCTGATGAGGGGTTACTATTCCAAACAAAGAACGCATACATCTCAACATTAAAAAACCAAACAACTGAAAACCAGGTAGAGGATCTACCAGACACACAGCAGTCTGCTCTGCTTAAAGGCCCACAGGCACATGAAAAGATGCTCAACGTCTCAAATCATCAGGGAAACGCAAATCGAAACCACAGTGAGCTATCACCTCACACCTGTCAGAACGGCCATCATGAAGATCAGAGATAAGAAATGCCAGCGGGGATGTGGAGCAAAGGGAACCCTTGGACCCTGGTGGTGCGAATATCACTTGGGGCAGCCACTATGGAGAACAGTATAGAGATTCCCCCAAAACTAAGGATAGCACCACCATGCAATCTGGCAATCACACTTCTGGGTATTTACCCAAAGAAAACGAAAACACTAACTGGAAGAGATACATACACCCCTATGTTCATAGCAGCATCATTTACAATAACCAAGATATGGAAGCAACGTAAGTGCCCATCAACAGACAAATGGGTAAAGAAATCGTGGTATAAATACACAATGAAATAGTAATGATAAGAACTAATGAAATTTTGCCCTTTTTGACAAAAGGGATAGACCTAGAGGGTATTAAGCTAAGTGAAACAAGTCAGACAGAGAAAGATAAATACTGTATGAAAATACTTATGGGTGGAATCTAAAAAAACAAAATGAACAAAGCAAATGAACAAACATAACACAGCAGAAGCATAGATTCAGAGAACAAACAGGTGGCTGCCAGAGGAGAGGAAAAAAATAGATGAGGGAGATTAGGAGGTACAGACTTCCAGCTGAAAAAATAAATGAGTCACGGGTATGAAGTGTATAGTGCTGGAAACAGCATCAACAATTATGTAGTATTTTAGGTGGCACTAGTGTTAAAGAATCCCAGCAGACACAAGAGACACGGGTTCGATCCCTGGGTTGGGAAGATCCCCTGGAGGAGGGCGTGTGGCAGTATTCTCGCCTGGAAACTGCCATGAACAGAGGAGCCTGGTGGGCTACAGTCCATGGAATCACAAAGAGCTGGACATGACGGAGTGACAAAGCAAAAAGCCTCAGCATCACCTTCCGCTCACACCCCACATCTGATCTCTCCACTTCAGAATTCATCCAGATTCCCGCCCCATGTCACCACCCCCACCATCTCTACCCTGGCCCAAGCTACCACCATCTCCTGCCTGGATTCGCATCATAATCTCCTTGTGCCCTTTTCCCCTCTTATGATCTAGTTGTAACAAGCAGCTGGGACAATCTTGCTAAAATGCAAGTCAGTTCACATAATCTTCTACTCAAAGCCCTCATCTTTGCAGCTCACTTAGCATCAGTGACAGCGAATACCCCAGGGGATGCCCCAGGGTCCCACATGCCCTGGCCACAGTTACCTCTCTAACCACATCTTCTCCCCCACTCCCTTCTCCAGCCACACGACTTCCTGCCTCAGTCCAGCATGCAGGGGTCCCCCTGCCCCTGGTCCCCAGGTCGTATTTCTCTTTGCCAGACACACTTAGCAGGTCATTGACAACGCCTGTTCTTCATCACTCCCTGGGGTCCTTCATCACCCCCTGGGGTCCTTCATCACCCCCTGAGGTCTTTGCTCAGTTGTTTCCTTCTTAGGGAGGTCTATCCAGCTGCCACTCCAGCCCATCCCCTAGCTCCACCACCCTGTCCCCCCCATTCCCAGGTCTGCCTTCCCTGCTTTATTTTTCTCTACAGAACTTAACAACTTCTAAAGCACCCCACTATTGTATTTCCCCAGCAGAAGACAGCTTCATGAGGAAACATTTTCTTCTGTGTGTTTTGTTCACTCAAGTATTCATGGCTCCCAAGACAATGGCTGGCATACATTAGGTGCTCAATAAAGCCTGCTAAGTCAATGAGAGGTACTCTAATCTCCTGGAATTCTGGAAGGGCCTCTGAGGAGCCATGTATACCCTGAAGCCGACAGCCAAATTTTGTGTTGGATTTCTTTTTTCTCAGAGTCTTTGGCCAGAATCTTAAAGGACCTGATGACTAGAAAGAAGTTGAAGAAACAGTTATATAGGCACCTGAATTTAACAAGATGATTATAGTTTTCCTCCAACAATGAATAAACTGCATTCACAGCTATCTGCTAAGAGGGGAATGTGTGATCCACGCATGGTCTGATTACACTGGGTTCTCGATTCAGAATTGCAAGCCCAGCATCCCGAGATTTGCCTTGGGAATCATTTATGAGCAGATAGTAATTAGGCAGCTTTATGATGCTCAGGGTGTCCCTGGGGGCTCAGACGGTAAACAGTCTGCCTGCCATGCAGGAGACCCGGGTTCAATCCCTTGGTCGGGAAGATCCTCTGGAGAAGGGAATGGCAACCCATTCCAGTATTCTTGCCTGGAGAATTTAATGGATAGAGGAGCCTCATGGTCTACAGTCCACGGGGGTCACAAAGAGTCGGACACAACTGAGCAACTACATTGTTTGTGAGCCAGAACACCGTTGAGAATGAGTGAAGATGTGTTTTCACAGATTTGAAGCCAACTCTAACATTCACACGGAGCTGGAAATAAAAGGATCTGTTTGGTGGCCCGCACATGAAGAGCAGCTGAAGAATCCAGGTGGGCGGCCTAACAGGCAAAGAGCTGCACCCTGCCTACTCCATCACCTCGGCCCCACCGGGAAAGGGCCAGGACCTGGTCCCCAAAGAGGAAACCCCAAGACTAGTTCCCACCCGTCCACTTACCCCCAGCTCTGTGACGAAGTGAAAACAAAGGACTCCGCATGCACACCCTCAAGCACCCGCCAGGTACACAAATGTCCCTCCATCGGAGCCCAGCTCCACCCCTCGGCATGGCTTACCTTCCCCGATCATCGAGACCCCCACGGACATGCCCATGAACTTGCTTTTGGTCCACACGTGAGTGTTGACACACAGTCTCTTCTCCTTGCACTCACAGTAGAAGCAGGAGATGGGCGGGTGGTGAGACACCTGCTCGGCCACAAACCGCAGCTTGTAGTTCTTGGAAGAGTTGTCGGCCATCGGGTGCTCGTGGCCCACGGGGGCAGGGGGCGCAGTCCTCCTGGCCTTGACCTTGTCCTTGGGAACCTCCCAGGAGCAGTGGAACGTCTCGCCAATGATGGGGTTGTAGGGCTTCCTGGCCAGGGCGCCCTTGCGGCCCTCGTGGAAGGCGGTGAGGTAATACTCCACAAAGCCAATGACCCGGTCCTGGGGCGTGGCCCCCGCGGTGACGGCCAGCAGCAGGTCGGGGTGCGCCAGGAAGTCAGCGTACATCTCCAGCAAGGACCGCTTCTCCAGAATGAACGTGGGGAGCACCACCTGCGCCCGGAGGAGGCAAGGTCAGACCACAAGCCCTGCGCTTACAGGGGAAAGCTGAGGCTGCCACCCCCCTCAGGCACGGTCCCCAGGGCCGGCGCCAAGGCTGGTTCCTCGGATGTTCACACACATGACAGATCAGACAGCAGAACATCTGAGGACCTGGAAAGGGCTGTGGCGGCCCCCGTGATGCCCACCCAGCTTCGTGGACGAGACTGTCCTGAGCCGTCTTCCTCTCTGCTCATCCGGGCTGAAACCACAGCCTCTCTCTCCCCCCACAACCGGGGCCTTGCTAACATGCAGCCCTCTGTCAACAGCCAGCTCTCCAGCATTTAGAGACGTGAGGAAAACAGCTCCAAAGGGCTTTTTTGTATTCTTCCTGCCCTCGGGCCCTGCCAAGGGAGATGCTCAGTGTATTACCACAAATCCAGATCCTGGGGCTCACGACTGCCGTGTCAAAGGGGGTCCAGACAGACCAACACCCACTGAGAGTATCTGTTTGGAAATCACTATAGGAAGAGCAGTACAGAAACCCTATCAGGATCGGGGCAGAAAATAAGCAGAGAAGGGGCCTGGCCCACGTCTCTGGAGGCGAGGCCAGCCAGCAGGCAGTGTCCACTGGGCTCCCACGCACTGGGGCCACGGGTGAGGCTGCCCACGGGCTGGGGCAGGAGAAACGAGCTCTGAAGAAGCAGACTGGGCTGACAGCAAACGCTTCTGGTAAATAAGCTGCCTGGCAGAGGGTCACTGCCCTGTGTCACTGGCCCCAGGACGGAAGACAGCGAGGCGCCTGGAGGGTCCATCAGAGGCCACGGCACTGCGAACTGGTCCAGCGTGGGTCTGAGTGGCCCCTCGTGTGCCAGACCACCCAAACGCCCAGAACCCAGGGACCAGGCCTCCTAAAGCAGATGAGCGGCCTTCTGGGAAACAGGTGACCCCTCACACGCCTGACCTGCTGCCGCCCCTCGTGACCCCCCTGCAAGGCGGCTGCAGGCCAGGAAGCGCGCCCGCCCGGCTGCGAGGGAAGCCTGTGCTGACCTGGGACGCCAGCCCACTCGGCTCCTCCTCTAGCCAGGGTCACCGGAAGACCAGTCCTGACCCTTGCACTGCCCGGGTGACAGGAGGGGTTGGCCAAGGTCACACGGCTGGCTTCTGCTCCTCCCTGTGTGGCTGAGTCTGTCCATCTGTCACATCCGAGGCCCCAGTCCATTCAAAAGCATCGCCGACCGGGAATATCACACACAGCCCTGGGACTGGGTCCCCAACTTGGCCCTCACTGGGACCGTTCCTCTCAAAAGGTGGAGACACAGTGGAAGCGAGGTGTCCTGATAGGCGGACACGAGACAGACAGGCAGACACGAGACAGCCTCAAGAACAGTGAAGCACAGATACCTCAGAGTAAGCTGGGGAAAGGCCAGCCCACCGGAAAGGAGAGGTCGGTGTACCACTCGGCTCCTCCTCTCGCCAGGGTCACCGGAAGACCAGTCCTGACCCTTGCACTGCCGGGATAGGGGAGGGGTTGGCCAAGGTCACACGGCTGGCTTCTGCTCCTCCCTGTGTGGCTGAGTCTGTCCGTCTGTCACATCCATGGCCCCAGTCCATTCAAAAGCATCGCCGACCGGGAATATCACACACAGCCCTGGGACTGGGTCCCCAACTTGGCCCTCGCTGGGACCGTTCCTCTCGAAAGGTGGAGACACAGTGGAAGCGAGGTGTCCTGATAGACAGGCGGACGAGAGACAGACAGGCAGACACGAGACAGCCTTGAGAACAGTGAAGCACCGATACCTCAGAATAAGCTAGGGAAAGGCCAGCCCACTGGAAGGAGAGGTCGGTGTCCTTAATGCTTTTCTATCTTTCACCTGAAAATGATGTCAGAGGACAGTCCAGCTGTGATGAGTCAAAAGGAGCCAGACGTAGAATGAACATGTGACACAGCCCACGGGCCACAGAAGGACCCCAAGTTCAACATGTCTCTCGTGGTGACAGAAGTGTCCTTACATTTCTTATGAGTATCTTTCTGCTTTCTTTTTTAATAAACTGCAAGAGGAAACATCTAAACCACAACCATACAAACCAACGGAGGCCTTCTAACTTTCTTTTGAGCCATGGCTTGACAGATTTGAGCATCTCGGTGCCCGAGGACTCGAGCTGACCAGGAAAAACGCATCCCGGCTCAGAGGGGCCTTCAGATCCCACTGATCTCGCCTCCTACGGCTCCGGTGGGAGGAGGTCAAGTTCAGCCGCCCCCACCTCCCCATGCTCCATGGGGACCCAGCTATGCCTCTCATGTCCTCCCCCAAAAGAGCCACTCGAGGTCCCCCCAGGGACGCCTCCCACACAGGCTGTGCCAGTTGGGAGCTGTGGATTTAAGCAGCCTTGGAACTGCCCCTCCTTCCAGCCAATAAAGTTAAATTAATTTAAAAAGTAAAGAAAGGGACCTCCCTGGTGGTCCAGTGCCTACGACCCTACACTCCCAATGCAGGGGGCTTGGATTCCATCCCTGGTCAGGGAACTAGATCCCACATGAGAACTAAAGATCCTATGTGCCACAACTGAGACCTGGTACAGCCAAATACAAACGTACATAAAAAAGAAATAAATGGAGAAAAGAACGCCACTCAGAACCCCAAACCGCTGATGATTGAAGCCTGAAAGCCTCTCTGGGAAGCTGTGGCCAGCCCTCTGCTTTCACACGTGAGGGGACAGACGGGGGAAGGGGCAGGGAAGGCGTGTGGAGGGAACCTCAGGGCCCCCGACTGCTCCCCAAGGTTGGTCCATCACCCCCACACCACGATTCTCTGCTTCTGGCCCATAAGAGCATCTTCCTTCCCTCAGTGACGAGCAAGGTGAGTGTTCACTGGACATCAGAATGGATGGCTGGGCCACCCCCTCCCCCGCCCCTAATTATGGCAAGGGGGTCAGGAAGCAGCCCAGGGAAAAGGGCGGGATGAGAGCCCCACTTTCCAGTCCATTTGACTCTTTCAGGACGACAAGGCAATCCACCAGCCCCAAGCTGTCATTAACGTGCAGACGGGGGCCTTCCCTGCTGGTCCAGTGTTTGAGAATCCGCTTTCCAATGCAGGGGACTTGGGTTCAACCCCTGGTCTAGGAACGAAGATCCCACCTTGGGCGGAGCAACTGAACCCACGAGCTGTAACTAGAGGAGCCCACACACCTCAGCAGAGACCCAGCACTGCCGGAAGAACAAAACCCATATGCAGATGGGAGGGAGCCCCTGGTGACCAAGGACGGACACTCCCGGCGCCCCTTCTCTGGGGGGGCATAGCTGACACCCGCTGACCCCAGCTGTCACGCCCACCACTTCTTCTCCTCCACACCACAGCTGGGCTCATCTTTCCAAACTCTCTGTGGGAGACAAAGTCCCTCACCTTCTCCAGTCTCACACTATCCCTCATTTTCTGCCTCCAGCCTTCCCCTCACAAGCGTGCATGCACACGTGCGCACGCACACACACACGTTCAGTCCTGTCTCCTTTGCCTGCCCTCCCTCCTGCCTTGTCTAAATGAGAAACAGCTCAAGGGTAACCTCCTCTAGGAGATCTCTCCTCTCAGTTCCTGCTCCCAGGCGAACCCACCCACCGGCTCCTTGACTGTTCCCGTCAGACACCGCCATTGGAGTGTCTCCAGGGCTCTCTCGCTTTGATCCATGCTAAAAAGAGCGTTATTGGAACAACTGGGGGACATTTACTATGGGTGTGTTAGGGGAAGCATACTGAAACCGCAGACTCAGGCCAGGCACCATAATAACCATTTGTGTGAGTTATTTTACGACAGGAAGTCCTGGTAAGGAACACGGAACTAAGCCACCAGCAACCGGAAGAGCTCGGGAAAGGTCAAAAGGAGACACCACGTGTCCGTCCACTTCCCACCTCCTTCTCGCTGGCGTCCATCTTGACGGAGCAACGCATGCACCACCAGAGACAACCTGGAAACGAATCCCATCACCACAAAACCCGAGTCTGCGGAGCCACGTGGCGGGGCGGCTCTGGGTTCCCAGACCTTGCTGCTCTCCGCCTGGCGCCCCTGCCCAGTGAAGTCTCTTGCTTTGTCAGCATGTGTGTCTCGTCCGACGATTCATTTCCGAGTGGTAGACAAGAGCCCACTCTCGGGCGCTGGAAGGGGTCCCCCTTCCTGCAACAGGAGTGGAGGAAACAGCACGGCATCGCTGTTAAACCTTCCCAGGGTGACAAGTGAGTCGTGCAGGAGAAGGTCCTTGTCAGGGAACTGATGACCTGCCCGGCTCCACTCTCTGAGGGACATCAGGGGGGAGCGCCGCGTCTGCGACCTACTCTGAAATGGCTCATCAGAAAACTAACACGGACAGACACGTGCCTGTGTTCTTATGATGGACCGCGAGAAGAAGCAGGGAGAGACTGGGAGAGGAGGAGGAAGAGAGAAGAACGCAAAATGGCAACATGTTAACAACTAGCTGATGAAGGTGAAGAATGTATGTGCAAGTTCATTGTTCTCTTCCTGCAACTCTGCTGGAGACGGGAAAATGCGCAGCAAAACAGTTGAAAGGAAAAGAAAAAAAGGCTCTACTAGGGATGCAACATCTGGGAATTGACTAGTTGTCCCAGACAATGCTCCTGAATGAAAAGATGCAGGGAATGTGGTCTCGCAGCCAACCGCGGGTCCCACCCACTGGGCGTGTGTTCTGCACTTGGTGATGCTGTGTTGCTGTCAGCTCTGGGAAAAGCAGAATTCCCGGAGAGCTGGAGGAGAACGGGGCAGCCGTGGGGTGACTGTCTCCCCGTTTATCTCTTGCTGCTGTTTGTGCAGAATATCCAACCCACGTCTTTCAAACCAAACCAGCACCGTGGCCAACCTGGGCAAAGACGTCACCCTGCCCTCTAAAGTCGATTCTCTCTCGCCTATGGTCCCTCCCTGACATTCTTTTTTTGGGTCCCTTTGCAGATCAGTCACTCAATCATCTGTGTCTTGGGCGGTGGACACTGTAGACACGAGAGCCCAGAAGTG